CCTGCCAGCCTCCGGCGTATCCCCCAAGCAATGTGCGGCCCTTAGGCTTCTGGAAGCAGGTTGGAGCTGCTAGGCTCCTAAACCCTGAGTTTTAATATAGATCTACCCCAGAAAAAGAAAAACAGGAAGTATTTATTGAGCGACTACTATTTACCAGACACCGTGCCAGTTTATTTTTTAAACCAGCATAATCTCATTTAATCTTAACAACTCTCTCAGGTATCCCCCCCCCCGCCCCATTTCTGGGCTCATAGAGATTGTCTCTGATTAGGTGATAACAGTACTGTGCTGCAAAGTGCACAGGCTTCAAAGGCCCAAAATTTGAGGGTAGTGTCTCATTTACTTACTTGAGAAAGTTACCTAACCTCTTCAAGTCTTGGGATCCTCATGGCAAAATGGGGGATCTATGAGGGGGTCATTTGAGGACATATTGTACGTGACACACTGGCCCCCAACAGGCCCTGAGTGGGTGAGTCATTGACTCAGTCCTCACAGTGGGAGACTTGAAATCTGACCACAGGTCTTCTGGCTGCTTTGACCCCCCACACTGTGCTCCCCCATTTTCCTTTTTCCGTGGGCAGGGGGAGTCCCCATGATGAGTGTTATGAGTGGATGACCCTACTCTCTCCACCCCACAAGGTCTGAAGTCTCCTCACAGGATCCAGAGGTCGCAGGGAGAGAAATATCCTCTTCTTCTGAAAGTAGGGAGGAGCCTTAGGGTGGGGGCTGGGGCTGGAAGACCCTGGGGACCAGGCTCTGGCGGTAGGATCCCGTCTTCTCCCCATAACCCCCATCCAAAGGCACCAGAGCACACTGAGTAGTGGGCTTTGCAGGATGTGGGACACCAGACCAGAGAAGGAGCCAGGAGCCACCCCCCAACACCAACGAGGGGCTTGGGTCTCCTCCCCTCGAGGCGGGCAGAGAATCCTTCTGCCTGTGTCTGTCTCGGGGCTGCTCACTCTTCCCACTCTTACCCCACTGGAGTATCAGACTCTCGGTCCCCACACCACGTCTACACAGCTCTTCACTCCCCTTGTGTCCATGCGCCCTTCTGCATCCCTGCTTCCTTCTGGCCTTTCCCCCACAGGTGCTTATGGCCCCTGCTTGGCCTAGGCCTCAGCCTCCCTCTGTTTCTGTCCTCCTCACCCTGGCTTTGTTCCATGCCCAGTCTGCTTACTGAATTACTAATTGAAAAGATAATAAAAAAAGCCAGTGAAGCAAAAGCCGCATATATGTTCCAAATACTAACGTGGATGATTATACGCTGCTGCCTGGAGGGGAAACTCAAAGTGCAAAAGCCCTGGCCCAGGTGCCAGGAAAGCTGGGCGCTAGTCTTGCCTTTGTCCCCGACTGGCTGTGCAACTGAAGCAGTCGCTGGACGCATTGCTTCCTTAGAATTCAAAGTCCCTTCAATTCCTTTAAAGAAACTAGGAACAATGAGCAGTGTTTGAAATTTGTTACAGAGAACAGTGGACTAATTCAGTGATGGGAATTTCTTTTAAGGAAATTACCTTTTATCCCTCACCAGATATATGTGGTGGCGCAGAGACTGAGGCATCTATAATTATGCAAGTTTCCATTCCATTTTCTATGCCTCTCTTTATCCCTTCTTTCCTTCTTTCCTTTCTTCACTAAGCACTGTCTGCTTCCTGTAAGGAAGATCCTGAGAATGCAAAGTATAAACCCTGGTCCAAGTCTTTGAAGGAGCTACAGTGAAGGGTTTTGGGTAGACACACTGGTCAGCGATTCTGACACCTGCGATAAAGGTTATCATGGAATAACTGAACGATGCTCTGCCCTGAAAAGTCCCAAGGAGGCTTCCTGGAGGCAGTCGTATTTGGACTGAGTTTTTATTAAAGGATGAGACATCTGCGAGGCAGGCCAGGAGAAGACTGAACTCTGACTAAGATGACTGCATTGAAGGGAGAAGGCTGGAGAACAGAAGAGGAAGCTGCACCAGAGTCCAGGATAAAGGTGGTGAGAAACTGAACAAGGCCAAGTCAGCAGGATAGGGGGCAGGGGATGGGGTTGAGAAACTTCAAAGTGAGAGCAGTGGGAGGAGAGATTAACTGTGGGGAAGGGCACAGGTGTCAAGGAGTAATACTGGGGTCTCTTGTTTCTGGGAAGTTGCTCCTTCCTGCCGCAAGTTAGCAGGAGGGGAGCAAACACATGCAAGCCACGGGGAATGCTGCTGGGTGTCACGCGCCAAAGAGCGTCCAGGCTTTGATACTCTTCCTTCTAAAATTCTGTTCTCCCTTTAGTGAGGGTGATAGAGTTGCCGGAGATCTTTAAAGCCCCTCCCATCTTACCTTGATTGTCTTTGTGGAAAGGGAAAGGTCCCGGGCCTGGGCCAGGAGAGTTGAGGTAGGCAGGCCAGTCCCAGAAGCCCACCTAGAGGAGGCAGCAGGTTTCTTGGTGGGAGTAGAGCAAGGTCCGTACATAAGGGACAGAGTACGCACTGGGTGTGCAACTGGAAGGAGATGCCTATGTCCTGTTCTCCCCCCAGCTCTCCTACAGTCCCCAAGCAAAGGACAGCACTGGTGGGTTCTGCTTTGGTTGGAGTCAGATTCAACTGCTAATCTCTTTCCACCTGGGGACCTCCTTTCATAAGCTTCTTCATGCATAAACTCTTAGTTCTTTTTACAAGGGGTTGATTTCTGCATAGTGTTCTCTGGGGAATGTAAATCAGCACCAAATGTGGGGAGATCTGCTTCCATTGCTGCTTCGACAGACTACACACTGAAAGAGAGGGAGAAGGTGAGCCCTACTTCGGCCTAGGGAGTCCAGACCCTCCCAGTCAAGCTTGTAATGAGGGCCACATGTCTATGACCTACAATGTCCTGGGTAATGGGAGGGGCAGGCTGGCAGAAGACAGGGACAGGTGGGCCTTTGAGCTGCCTACTAACTAAATCCTATATATGGCTCGAGAATGTCATAGTTCCAAGGAGGAGTTCATTTGTGGGCGTAAGCAAGTAGTGGGAACCAGTTCCCACTGAAAACCTAAAATCCTCACTGCTTCTGAGTCAGGACCTCTGATTAGAGGTAGACCCTCCACCCTCAACTTGCAACAGTGCTCCTAGTCTGTCTCTTAATTTTTTCCTGGGTGGGGGTTCCTTTGGAAGTGCATTACCAGCTGCTCACTTTCTCTCTCTATGGGAGATTGCAAAGCTGAAGGTGAGCTTTAGAAACACACTGATTCACCTGAGGAAAAATGAGAAGTCTCTGCATTGGTTCTGCCCAACTCCCTGCTCTCCTGCTGGGCACAGATTCCCTCTCGGGCCTAGGGAAGGGAGTGGGTGAGTTATTTTAACTCTGAGAGGCAGAGCCAGAGCATAAGACAATGAAGAGAGCAACCCCAGACTACACAGCTCAAAACCCCGGCACCAACTCTGGCTTCCACAGGCTGCCTCAGGGGCATGGGAGCATTTGCTCACTGCAGGGAAACCTGCATGGTTGGCACTCCTGCACTCTGGCAGAGCAGAGATGTGTGAGTGCGCCTTGTGAGGGTGTGGGGTGCTGGGTGAGGAGCATCAGCAGTGGCAAGCAGACTGGAGGGTTCCTTTCACCTGGTGCAGTGACAATAACAAGGGCAGAAAGAATGAGAATGCTTTTTATTTGCTTCACACTCTACGGTTTTGGGAGCATCTGCTCATTTGATTTTCAGAGACATGCATCATCCCCAGTTTACAAACAAGTCCTAGAGAAGCTACTTCCAACTTGGAAAAAAACAGAGATTAAAGCCAAGCTAAAGAAAAAGAATGAAATGGATGCATGATCCCACCTGCTCCCTGCTCTTGAACCATCTAGGTCTGCAAAAGGAAGCCTTCTTTGCCTTCGCCTTGAACTAGAACATTGAAGAGAGCGGCCCAGACTTCTACAAGGCACTCACCAGAGCACTCTGAGGCATTAATGCTCAGAATCTAGGACCAGTCCTGTGTGTGTGTGTGTGTGTGTGTGTGTGTGTGTGTGTGTGCATGCGTGTGGCCTTTGCTCCAGGGGTGATTTTCTGAGTCAGGAAAAACTTTCTGCCCCTGTGTGTAGAAAGACTTTCCTTACGCCTCCCTCTTTTATGTGTCGGTGTCTAAAGTGCAGATGAGAGAAATGGTCCTTCTCTCCTGACCACTTGCTCGTTCGGGGAGACAGGCAGCTAGAAGACAGACAAAAGGGTAATTGGCACTACAGAAAAGAAAATTTCCTAGAGAAGCTGGGGAAACTTCTTATTCTCTTCAGCCCAGGAACAAGAAGTGCCCATCCACAGTGCCCAGTCTGTGTCAAACAGTTTATCTTTTAATCCTCAAAAAATTCAGTTAGTTTGTTCTTTCTTTCCTTTTTTTTTTTTTGGTACAAGGAGCTGAACTCAGGACCTTGTGCTTGCCAGGCAGGTGTGGCACGACTGAGCTTCAACTGGGCTCCAACTAGGTTGTTTTTTGTTTTGTTTTCATTTTCAAGGGAGCTCTTAAATTCTCTGGAATTCTTTTTTTTTTTTTTTTCAACTAGGTTGCTTTATGTCAAGGCTTATAGAGAGAAAATAAATGTGCCAGATTCATATCTTCACCAG